GCATATCCAGTTTTCCTAGCACTATTTTTTGAAAATATTATTCTTCTCCACTTAATTGTCTTGGCATATATTCAAGAGTTTATTTCTGGACTCTCAATTTTATTCCATTGATCTTTATATCTAACCATATTCCTACTACAAATTGTCTTGATTACTGTAGCTTTGTAGTAAATTTTGAAATTAGGAAGTGTGTGTGCTCCAGCTTTTTTTTTCTCTTTCAAGATTGTTTGGCTATTATGGGTTCTTTGCATCTCCGTAGGAATTTTAAGATCATCTTATTAACTTATGCAAAAAGTCGAGCCTGGATTTTGATAGGAATGGCATTGAGTTTTCAATCAGTTTGGGGAATATTGTCATTTTAAAAATATTAAGTCTTATGAACTATGAACATGGGATATCTTCTCATTTATTTAATTTTTTAATTTCTTTCAATAATGTTTTATGATTTTTAGTTTTCAAGTCTTGTGGGTTTATTTATTTATTTTTTAAATCACACTTGTTTTTTTTAAGATTTTATTTGTCAAGAGAGACTGAGCACAGGCAGGGGGAGTGGCAGGCAAAGGGAGAAGCAGGCTCCTCACTGAGCAAGGATCCCAGTGTGGGACTTGATCCCAAGACCCTGGGATCATGACCTGAGCCGAAGGCAGGCACTTAACTGACTGAGCCACCCAGCCGTTCCCAGGTTTTGTATTTTTCAAAAATGTGCTTTTTAAAATGCTATTCCAAATGGAATTTTTATTTCATTTTTGCACTATTCATTGTTAGTTTAGAAATACAACTGATATTTGTATATTTATCTCATATTTTGCAAACACTGCTGAACTCATTAGTTCTAATACTTATTTTTGTAGATACCTTAAGATTTTTCTCTCTCCAACATCTGCAGCTAGTTTTGTTTTTTCCTTTCTGATCTCATGCTTTTTTTTTTTTTCTTGCCAATTGCCCCTAGCTAAATAAATGTCAGATAGACAAGGTGAGAAATCTACATCTTTGTCTCATTCCTGATTTTAGGGGTATAGAAGTCAGTCTTTCACCATTAAATATGATGTTAGCTACAGGATGTAGTTTTTTAAAAGGACTTTTAAAGCTCATTTATCTACCTTCTTTCTTTAAAGCTCTCTACCAGACATTTTGGTAGAACGTACTGGTTAATTAGACATAGGAAAAGGCAAATTCTCTGCAAGAGGAAGTACAGCCTCTTGTGAAACACTAAGAGCCCCTATCCAATCTGGGGAAGTCAGGAAATAATTTCTGAAGGAAGTAGCTGAAACCTTAATGATAAATGGAATTGACCACACAAAGGGGAAGAGAGTGTTCTGATGATAGAAATATCAAGGCAAGTGAAGGCCTGGACTGCCTAAAAAATGTAATTCTGTTTTCTAGAGGGTACACTTCAAGTAGATGGTGCTGTGATGATGGCACAGATGAGCAGGGCTAGATTATGAAAAGTTCACATGGGGCTGGTTTACCCGTTTAAATCTTGCTGTGAAAACAATCAGAAGTCATTGGGGGTTGGGGTAAGAAGCAAATTTAAAAAGAAGAAATGAAATTCATCAGATTTTGCACTATAGAAAAATTATAGTCGCAGTCTGGGGTAGAGGCCAGAAAACTAGAGGACTGTTTGAGTAACTCAGGAAGAAATGATGGTGCATTGGATGAGGTAGTGACAGTAGAGATGAAGGCAAGTAGACTCTAAAGGGATTTAGGAGGTAGAATTGAGTGTTAAGAGGAAGGAGAGGCAAGGATGATTCCTAGACTTTTGTTTAGGACAAATGAGTGAATAATGTTCTTTACTGATTTGGGGAACACAGGCAAAATAGTTTGGGAAAGGGGTAATGAGTTTTGTTTTGGAAATACTGAATTTGAGGTGCCTGAGTAGGTTTTTCCATAGGTAGTTGTATTTGAAGTGCACAGTATGCATTTAGAAATGGCACACAGAACTCATCTTACTCTACTCTCCAAGGACACCTCAGATCCCCCTCTGTCTTCCCTCTTTTCTTTCAACCCCTCAGTCTAAAACAGTAAGTTCACATGTCTTACTGATGCAGTACTAATGTGTGTTAAAAGAATATTACCATTAGCTTCTCATCCTTCACTTATTTTTCACCTAAATGTTGACTATAGTGGCACTTCTTTTTACAGAGATAACATTGTCTCATCATATTTGTTTGCATTGTAGTGTCTTAAAAACTTTTCTACATGATCCTCTTGTGGAATGGAGTAAACCAGTGAAAGGGCATTCCAAAGCACCACTGAATGAAACTGGGGAGGTTGTCAATGAAAAGGTTAGTAGAAAGTGTAGCATGATATGAGCTGACATAATATGTCTCTGTCAATGAGAATTGATTCTAAATACTGTCGGTGACTGGCCATTGAACTCCTAAATCTAGTTACTTTTTAAATTTTTTTAGAGAGGGAGGGAGGGGAAGGGGCAGAGGGAGAGGGAGACAGAGAATCTTGAGCAAGCTCCACGCCCACTGAGCCTGATGTGCGGCTCAAATCTCACAACCCTGAGATCATGACCTGAGCCAACGTCAATAGTCGGATGCTTAACCAATGGAGCCACCCAGGTGCCCCTGAAATGTAGTTCTTTAGTATGAAAGTGCCAATAAGTTTTCTTTATTGTCTTTACTAATGTTAACATTATCATTTGTGTAATAAAGTTCAAGACACACTTAATTATAGACAGTTTGCAGTTATGAGATATAGTGGGAAAAACTTGGAACATAGATTGCCTGCAGGTCTCAACTTTAATATATAGCAATTCACTCCTTACTAACATTAGTTGAAGTTTCAAAGTTTGCAGATAATCATTTTTATTAAGTGAGAATAGATTGAGGATTGTTACTCTTATACAACATTCTCACTTTTGCATTTTTTATAAGCTTTCTTATTGAGAGAAATGTGTACCTTTCATTCCAAGTAGCTTAGAACTCCATTTGCACATAGTAACATAATCTAAATATTAGGCATTTAGAGTACTGTTGCTATTAGTAGAACATTCAAATGTTTAAGTCCTAACATTTTGGGGTAAATTTTTTAAATTATTATTTTTCTAGAATTGTAATGTGGAAGAGAGTCCCTAGTATTTCACATAGTCCAGAAAAATGTCCATGCAGTTGATGCTAAATCAACATTGCCAAGCCTCAAAATCAGTATCTGAAGTTATTTCATTTGTTTCATTTCTTCTCTTTTGCCTGCTTTTGCTCCTAAAAAGGGGGTAATGATTCATAAAATGACATAAACATTTGTCAAACACCAGAAAAGTAGTAATTTCAAATTATCAACATCCAGGTATTATTAGGTTCTTAGCACTTACGATTTTCAATTTCTTCTTATTAGGCCAAGACCCATGTTCTTGACATCGAGCAGCGACTGCAAGGTGTAATAAAGACCCGAAATAGAGTGACAGGGCTGCCACTATCTATTGAAGGACATGTGCATTACCTTATACAAGAAGCTACTGATGAAAACTTACTGTGCCAAATGTACCTTGGTTGGACCCCATATATGTGAATGAAATTATTTCAAAGAATATGCTAATAATCTAAAATTAATGCATTTGGTATTAACTGTGATTGTATATTCAGTTCCAAAGTACAGCATAAGTTTATGTTCTCGGAGCAACTGGTATTAACTCCCTTATGTTAATAATATTTAAAATAATATATGTTGTTGTTAAGAAATAAACTGCTTTTTTTTTTAAGATTATTTATTTGAGAGAGAGCACAAGTGGGGAGGGGGCAGAGGAAGAGGGAGAAGCAGACTCCCCACAGAGCAGGGAGCTTAACTTGGGGCTCCATCCTAGGATCGTGACCTGAGCCAAAGGCAGATGCTTCACTGACTGAGCCACCCAGGTGCCCCTAACCTGCTTTCTTAATATATATTGTTCATTATAACTGAAGAAATGGAACATCTTATGTTTTTATGCTCTAAAAGATGTATTTGCAAGAAACAAGCCAGCCTAATTTCATTTTATAACTTTTATTGATTTTCTTTTAAGTACTAGCTAGCAAAAGGATTCATTTGAACAAAAAATTACACTGAATAAATGCTGTAGGCAAAGCATTATGCTAGATTCCTGAACAGAGCTACCTGCCCTGCCCTCTAGGAACTGTCTAGTCTAATAAAACAGATATAAACATAAAGCACACATCAAGTTCACTTAAAACTCTTTTTTGTATGGTTGAAAATGTAACAGGAAAAAAACATAAACCAAGGAGCATGAATATGAAAACTCAATGTAATTTTAAAGATCCTGTCATACTGAGTTTACCAGAATACAGAATCTAGTGGTCTTAGAAGACACTTAAAATTTCATAAATTTTAAAATTAAAGATATTTTAATGTTCATTTTTTGGAAGTTTTCTTGCTGATGATTTAAAATAATCCACAATATTTACAAAATTATGAGGTTATTACATTCAAATAAATGGAAAAATTATAACAGAATTTTACTTAAAATCTCTTGATAGAATTATGCTTTCCCGCACGGTTTAGAGTGTGATGGGGGAAAACATGAAAACCAAGAGACATGAATGTGAAACGTATACCATTTCCTCGGGAAGCCTAATGTTGATTTAAGGAGGAAGCTGGGTGGGGGTGGAGGGGAATTAGAATATTTTTTCCAACAAATAATCTGGAAAAAAAAGTTTTTAAAAGAAGTTTGATATAGGGTTATATTCCTCAGGAAAAAACCTCCCCCTCCCCAAACAAAACAAACTAAACCAAATAAGTCACCAGATCTTTCCAAATCTGTGTTGAAAAATACTGAGATTAGTAATTCCAGGACACAGCAGGACAAATACCAGTGTTCCAAAACTCTTCCAGCAGGCTCGTGAGGTTTTCACACCACTCCCACGTCTACTTACAAAGCACAGCTCTGTCAACAAACACTTCCAGAACTAAATGTAACGCACCAACACGCCACTCCGCCCTTAAACATTACCACCGGGGAGCTCGGCCGCGGCGAGTTAGAGCCGGGATTAGAGCCCCGCCCCGGGGATGCGGCCTCTAATCGGCCGCTCTAGGCCCGGCGAGTGCTCTCTATGGTCGGGCGGGCGGTGTGTTGTCATCCGCGGAGCGACGGCCGGAGGCAGCGGCTTAGGCCCCGGCGGGGCGTTTGGTTTCGCTTTGGCCCTGACTGCAATTAGCGTTGACGGTCGAAATGGGAGTCCCCAAGTTTTACCGATGGATCTCGGAGCGGTATCCCTGCCTCAGTGAAGTGGTGAAAGAGCATCAGGTGGGTGAGCGAGGGGGCAGCTGCTTAGCAGGCCGAGAACCCGGGGCCCTGCGGCCCTCCCTCCATCCTGGAACAGGGCTCCCCAGCCTCCTCTTTCTGCTCGTTGTCTGCAAGATGAACGGTGAAGGGAGGGGAGGAGGTTTGAGGATATCCTGATGATCTGAATGGGGGCGAAGACGTAGGTTTCGTTTCTGTGGGCAGAGCCGCGGGAATCGGGGCGGTTCTGACAGCTCTGCCGCGGGGCAGGGCCTTCCGCGGTTCTGAAATTAAGTCCTGGGGAGGATCGTTTTAGTGAGTTCTTTCCTTTCCTGCCCAGGGAGCTTATAGAGGCAGCAAAGCCGGAGCGGGTGTTCTGAGTCCCCCCATCCCCCTCTGAAAGCAGCAGACCCACGTACGAACAATAAGTGCCTCCGCAGTTGAGTCACCTTGTTTACTTTCCCTTATCAGGACCTGCATCCCACCCCACCCCCAACGCCTAGACTTTTTGACATAGCTGATGATTCATATTTATGATACCTTATGTTACTCTTTTTCGATTATCTCAAAGGTCGTAAAAGAAACAAAAATACACTTGGACGGGCAGGGGCAGTTGTTTGGAGACTTAAGTGTGCGAGTGTGCGTGTGTGACAGAGAGGAAGAGAAAGAAATGGATTGCTAGAACACTAATACTAGTAATCATAGTATCTGGTTTGTAATCCGGTATGTAATAATATCCCAGTGCAAGGTTTTTGTGCGGAGTCCAAAAATGTTTATATATTGGAATTGTGGAAAGAAATAGTAAGCAGTTATCAGGTAAACTAGACTTTGGGTGATACATTAGTGTTTTGTCACATTTAATGATTTTGGTAGATCTCTTGTCCATTTTATATTTTACAGGAAAATCAGTTTTGATATTTGTATAGCTAATGAGTCAGTTTTGATGGGTAACATTTTATTATTAGGGGAAATAATCCAACCAGCACCATCATGCTGTTTATTAAATTATGGTTTAATCTTTTAAAAAGTAGTATAGCATGAAGATAGGGTTAAACTTCCAGAAGGGATACTTTGTTGTTGGATCCCAGTCAGATTTGGTAAATGAAGAAGAGCTTACAAAAAATTCCAAAACAATAGTTTATTTTTCATTTATTTGAAACATGGGTTGAGTCAGATTTAGGAAGTAGTTCTTTCCAGAGAAGAGGGTAAAAAAAGATTACTAGTACATTTCAGAAATGGAGACAACCGACTTTGGCTTTTCCTGGGTCATTCATTCAACAAAAGTCTGAGCGCCTGCCATGTATCCGTCACTATAATGTGATTGTTATTCGAATTGACTTGATAACATATAATTTGTTTATTAATATTTTTATTCTGTACTCTTTGGTGCAGAATTTGGTTTGGTGAAACTGTCTTGGCTTCTCACCATCCTGAGAATTTTTTTTGCTGAAGAGCAAAAACAATCTCTTTAAGGCAGTCTTATGATAGGTTTAAAAGGATAGGTTTAAAACTTGACTTATTAAAATGGTGTCTTTCAAAAACGTTTGATTCTTGTAGTTAACAACGACCATAACAACAAAGAGAGCAAATGTTATAAAGGGGTACCAGCTACTCTTAAGCAGTATTTAAAAGATGATAAGCCTAAGTAAGTCACAAGGATTCAAAAGCTAGTATGGGGAGGAAGAGATTGGGAGGAGGAGTAAGTTGTGGGAAGATGGTGGTGGTAAAGACAACAGCATCATTTTTGGTCTCTTTGAATCCTCACATGAAAACAACTAGGCACGCCTGGGTGGCTCAGTCGGTTAAGTGTCTGCCTTTGGCTCAAGTCATGATCCCAGCGTCCTGGGATCAAGTCCCACATTGGGCTCCTTGCTCAGTGAGGAGCCTGCTTCTCCCTCTGCCTGCCACTCCCCCTGCTTGTGCTCTTTCTCTGACAAATAAATAAATAAACTCTTTAAAAAAAAAAAAGAACAACTAGGGCGCCTGGGTGACTCAGTTGGTTAAGTGACTGCCTTTGGCTCAGGTCATGATCCTGGAGTCCCGGGATCGGGTCCCGCATCGGGCTCCCTGCTCAGCGGGGAGTCTGCTTCTTCCTCTGACCCTCTTCCCTCTCATGCTCTCTATCTCTCATTCTCTCTCTCAAATAAATAAAATCTTTAAAAAAAAAACAATTAGATAGCAAAGTTTGAAATCCGTAGAACATTTATGACAAAACCATGTAATATTGTATCCCTACAAACCCCCAAAAACAAGTAGGTAGGGACAAACTACCAATAGCCTCTAGACCCAGTTGGTGTTGGCATCCCTGCAGGAGGAAAAAGGAAGCAATGGGGCAATATCTGATGGACCTGAGAACAGGAGAACTAAAGAATATTTGCTAAAAGACTATGTAGGCCAATTATATAGCAGTATTTGTAACTAAGGAGTTTTAAAGGGCAGGAGTAGTTGGCCTCCTATGAACTCTCATAACTGATTTGCCAAGGCATCATTCTGAGGCAGATATAGTAAAGGATAAAACAAATGTGCTCCCTATACAAGAGCACACACTTTAAAATGGAAATGTTAGCTTGTGTTTCTTTCTGTGCAATTTGTATAAAATGCATAGAAGATTGGCTTTAAAAGTGCAGGCACCAGGGGCGCCTGGGTGGCTCAGTTGTTTAAACAGCTGCCTTCGGCTCAGGTCATGATCCCGGGGTCCTAGGATTGGGCCCCGCATTGGGCTCCTTGCTCCATGGGGAGCCTGCTTCTCCCTCTCCCTCTGCCTGCCTGCTGCGCCCCATGCTTGTGCTCTCTCTCTGTCAAATAAATAAAAAATCTTAAAAAAAAAGTGCAGGCACTGGAATGTGAATACACTTAACACTACTGAACTGTACACATAAAAGTGGTTAAGATGGCAAATTTTTTATGTATATTTTACCACGGTTTAAAAAAATGCAGGCACAAGAGTATGAATTATGAACGGGAACAATATCGCTCCCAAGGGGGCCAAAATTGTTGAGAGGGTAGAGGTTTACATTTTAAAGTGCCACAGTACGTAAACAGATATACAGTATAACTATGGTATTAAAATTACATTGGAGGGTGATGATTAGGGAAAAAACAAGTCTAAAGAGCTACCTGGAAGAGGGACGATAGTGAAAGAAAGATTAAGAAATACTGCTCTGGAGCAATTCTGCTTGGTTCAAATTTAGCCCCAACACTTACTTTAGTAGCTATGGGTGAGTAACTCAGTCCTTTTTGTGATTCAGTTTTGTCAGCTACAAAATGGAGATAATAATATTAGGATTGCTATGATTAAATAAGTGAATGCACATACAGTTGACTCTTGAAAATGTGAGGATTAGGAACACCGACCCCCCCCCAAGCCCCCACGCAGTCAAAAATCTAAGTATAACTTTGACTTGCCCAAAACTTAACTACTAATAGCCTAGTGTTGACTGGAAACCTCACTGATAACATAAACAGTTAATTAACACATATTTTATATCTTGTATGTATCATGTATTCTTACAATAAAGTAAACTAGAGAAAAGAACATGTTAAGAAAATCATAGGAAAATAGGAAATATGTTTATAGTACTGTACTGTATTTATTGAAAAAAAATCCACACATAAGAGGACCCATGCAGTTCAAACCTGTGTTGTTCAAGGGTCGACTATAAAGCATTTAAATCTGTCTAGTACCTGGCAAGTGCTTAACGGATCTTACCTGTAATTATTGCTCACCAGCAAGGAGGGGAAGAGGAAGAGAGAATCCTAAGCAGGTTCCTTGCCCAGGGTGGAGCAGGGCTCGATCTCACAACCTTGAGATCATGACCTGAGCTGAAATCAAGACTTGGATGCTTAACTGACTGAGCCACCCAGGTGCCCCATATTTTAGCTATTATAGTAGCACTGTACCAGATTGTGATCACAAAGAGAACTACATATGCTCTAAGAGTTTTTAATCTTAGTTGTATGACCTTTTTTTTTTTGTAAAGGTTAAGTTTTCATCAGATATATATGTTCCCTCATTACAACTTCATCTCTACTTTTGTGGTACATAATAGATCTTCAGTAAGTATTTATTGAGCGAATGAATATTAATCATACTATATAACATAAAGAATACATAGTATGTTTTAAAACATGCATATTAAAGGGGTGCCTGGGTGGCTCAGTCAGTTAAGCATCCGACTCTTGATTTTGACTCAGGTCATGATCTCAAGGTTGTGAGATTGAGCTTTATGCTGGGCGTGAAACCTGTTTAGGATTTTCTCTCTCCCTCCGCCCCCCCCCAAATAGGCATATTAAAAAAATGAACTGAAGCCACAAAATCTTGGAATTGTTTAAGATAAATAGGATTAAAGAACTGGGACAAAAGAATTGCCAATAGCTCTCTTAAACTGTCAAATATACATTGTCTTAATGAAAATGCATTTTGTATACTAGCAAAAAGAAACTCAACTAATTTGAGAAAATTAGATACTAAAGTTAATACTTAACCACAATTTAAAGCAGTATAAATGCATATTCAAGGTAAGTGTTATAGCTTACATGTGCTATCACATTTAATAAAGGGAGGGCTTCGCTATTATTAAATATTTTTATTTGCTACTTTGTGCCAAGAGTTCTAAACATGACCAAATACTTAAGTGTAATGTGTGTCCTTTTGTGCTAAACTGTGAGTTCCTCAAATCAGAGACCTTGATTTGAGGAGCTCACAGTTTAGTAGGAAAGGACAAATGTCACTCTTAAGCATTCAACAAAAATGTACAGAGCATGTAATATATGTGCCTGGCATTCTTGTATGCATTGGGAACACAAAAACAAATAAGATATGACATAGAGAAAGGAACATCATTTCCCCTTGGGTAAGTACAAGAAAACTTCCAAAGATACCTGAGCTGGATCTTGAAAGCTGAGTCAAAATCTGCAAGATCAGTGGAAGAAAGAGCATAAAGGAAAGAAAAGTATTTCAGGAAGTAGTAGCAGCGTCTGTTAAGTCACAGAGGTTTGGAAAAGCCCAGTGCATTTACGGCTCTCCAAATAATGTACTGTATGTAGTTAGCTTGTAGGCTATATGTGCAAACAGGAAAGAATATGGAATTGGTGGGAGAGGTAACAGCCAAATCATACAGAATCTTTTATGGTATTAAAAGTTTATAGTATCGTATGGGTTTAGGTATGGAAGCAACATGATCAGATTATATATTAGAAAAATGGCTAACTACACTGTGGTGGGAGAGAAAAAAAGCAAGTAGTCTAGTTGGAAAACTCAGGGCTTGAACTAAGGCAGGAAATCTGGGGATGGAGAAAATGGTGAGATTGCCTAACACAATGGGAATGGTTAGGAGGGTAGGATTCTAGAGACATTTTGGAAGTTAAATTTTAAAAAACAAAACAAAACCTAAGTAACTAATTAGATACGGGGGTTGAGGAGAGGTGAAAGTGTAAAATAACATCAAAACATCTGTTTTACAGAATTAATAATTCAGTATTGTCTTTGGGTTTTTTTCCCCATTTTTATTTAAATTTCAGTTAGTTAACAAACAGTGTAATAATAGTTTCAGGTGTAGAATTCAGTGATTTGTTACTTACATACAACACCTGATGTTCATCATAACACGTACGCTCCTAATCCCCTTCCCCTCTTTAACCCATGCTCCACCCACCTCCCCTCCAGCAGTCTTCAATTCTCTATAGTTAAGAGTCTGTTTCTCAGTTTGCCTCTCTCTCTCTCTTTTTTTTTTCCATTATTATGTGTTTGTGAAGGAGCAAGATTCTATTGCATGTTCTCATTTTCTTCACTGAATTAGTCAGTGGTTACTCAGTCATTCTGTATTTTTCTTACTAATCTGAAACCTAAGAGAATTTTTAAAATTTCTTTTCTAAAAAGATAATTATAGGTTTTTTTTCAGATTATGAAGGTATGTGCTCATTATGTAAAAATTAATATAATACAAAGAGATGTAAAAGCTGTTATATCTTCCAAAGGAAAATAAACAACTGAAATTCCATCATCAAAGGTTAACTACCAGGACCATCTTGTTTCTGTGTACTCTTAACCTTTAAATACAGATACACATGTAGATAAGTATTTTCTATAAATGGGATAATAATATGCCTGCTATTTTATAGCCTACTTTTGTCATTTGACCATCTATATTACACACATTATCTAATGTCAAATATGAATGCATATCATAATTTGTAATTACTGTGTAGTATTCCATTGTGTGGATGTACCATCAGTTTTCTGTTATTAGGCATTTTGATTTTATTTTTTATTTCTAAATAGTACTCCCATTAATATTCTTGTGCTTCCATCTTTGTGCACATTTCTGATTATTTCTCAGAATAAATTTCCCGTAGTAGAAATCCTGGGGGTGCCTGGGTGGCTCAGTCGGTTAAGCGTCTGCCTTTGGCTCTGGTCACCATCTCAGGTCCTGGGATTGAGCCCCGCGTTGGGCTTCCTGCTCAGTGGGCAGTCTTCCTCTCCCTTTCCCTTTGCCTGCTCTTCCCCCTGTTGGTTCTCTCTCTCTCTCTCTCAAATAAATAAAATCTTAAAAAAAAAGAAAAAGAAAGAAATCCTGGGTCAGAGATATATATGCTTCAGATTTTGATATATACTTTCATATTATTACACCAGTTTATATTCCCATCCAGACTACTGGGTATAAATGCCATCTCTCTCTTTTCTATATCTGGGATTTTCCTCTTCTGTAAAATGGAGAATCTAAATATTTTTCTTTTAAAGTTACCATAATTTAGTGAGACAATGAATATGTTTGGCCCAATGTTTGGCACTTAATGAGTGCTTAATAAATGCCAGCTATTACTTTTAATAACATATGAAATATCTGTTTCCCCAAAACCTTGCCAATAACTGGGTAATATCATTTTTTCTAATCTTTGCTAACATGATGGGAAAAAATGATACATTTTAATTTGAAATTTGGGGATGTTGAACATCTTTTCATATATTTATCAGATTTTGTGTCTCTTGAATTGCTGTGCATTTTTCATGCTTTTAAAATTTGCTCTTTTATTAGAGGATTTTTTTATTTATTGGGAATGTTGATTTTGTCCTAATTTGCAAGCATTTCCCTGCATTTTGTCATTTTCGGTTTAAACTTGTTTTTGACCTTTTCTTTTAACCCTATAGATGTAAAAAATATAGATTGCCAACTCCATCGTTTGTTTGGTTTATGATTTTTGGCTTTCCCCACCCTAAAATTACCAAAATATTTGTATATAATTTTTTTACTTATATTTCTCACATTAAAAATGTTTACTCTTTCTGGAATTTATTGTTTTATAAGATGAGATGCAGTTGTGTTTTATTTCCAGATAGCTAGGTACCCCATCCCTTTCACTGGTTTGAAATGCCTCTTATATACTAAATTTCTGTATACACCTAAACTGCTTTTTTAAGATTTTAATAATTTATTTGACAGAGAGAGAGAGTGGGGGGGAGAGGGTGCGCACAAACAGGGGCAGAGGGAGAAGGAGAAATAGGCTTCCCGCTGCGCAGAGAGCCCAACGATGCGGGGCTCCATCCCAGGACCCTGGGATCATGACTTGAACCCAAGGCAGACACTTAACTGATGGCACCACACAGGCGCCCGACACTTGAACTATTTCTAAACTATTCTGTTCAATCAGACCTTTATAATTTTTAATATCATATAAAGCAGATTTCCTTCATTTACTTTTTAAATATTCTTTCTTGCATGTTTATTCTCCTAGAGAAACTTTGGAATCATTTTGTAAAGTTCTCACCTGGAGATTTTGATTGAGGTTTTCAGATTTTTTGAAGCAAATAGTAAATCTTGAATATACTTTTAAAACCTCATGATCACAATTACGTCATTTGAGCCTATTACTCAGTAAAGACATTTACATTTTTTTAATGTGGTACCTGGTACAATCCTGTATAAATGGGGTTTTGTCAGTATGTTTTTATGCTGTTCATTGATTCAAAGGCCAAAACTTTTTCACTCCCCAAACTCAGAGGCATGCTCTTTTCTCAAGAGAAAAATGTATCGTTTCTGTACATATGGTAAAACTTGAAGTGTTTCAGAGATGGCTCTCGTAAGGTTCATACAAGAAAAGTTCATTATGTTTTTATGTCTGAAAATTCAAAATACTTTAGTATGTAAGACACACTACTCAAATTCTTTAATCACAATTAGATATTATAACTATTAAGTTGTACCCACTTCATTTCCTTGTTAGTGTATATTTGTTTCAGTAGTGTTACCCCTGCTTGCTCACAAACATTTAAATAAAGGAAAGATCAATGAGAGCCAGAGCCATGAAAGTCTTTTTATAAAAGTAGACACCTGTTAGCCAAAGTTTAAGAAATTTTTAATCCACATGTCAAAAACAAGAAATCTGTTTTCAAAATTTCCTAAATTTCTTGGCATAATCTAAGCTTTCTAAATTAATATGAACAAATCAGTGACTCTTAGTGAAACCAAATATACACGAAGGCTTTAAATCACTTGTAAAATCTTTTAATGACCATGTACAAAGAGCCTTTTAAATAGGCATTATGTTACCCATTTATAGGGGAAATTGAGGCATTAAGAAGTTGATGTCGGGGCACCTGGGTGGCTCAGTCGTTAAGCATCTGCCTTCGGCTCAGGTCATGATCCCGGGGTCCTGGGATCGAGCCCCGCATCAGGCTACCTGCTCCACGGGAAGCCTCCTTCTCCCCCCACTCCCCCTGCTTGGGTTCCCTCTCTCACTGTGTCTCTCTCTGTCAAATAAATAAATAAAATCTTTAAAAAAAAAAAAAAGTTGATGTCAAGGGGTGCCTGGGTGGCTCAGTCGCTAAGCATCTGCCTTCAGCTCAGGTCGTGATCCCAGGGTCCTGGGATCAAGTCCCGCATCGGGCTCACTGCTCCACGGGAAGCCTGTTCTCCCTCTCCCACTCCCCCTGCTTATGTTCCCTCTCTGGCTGTGTCTCTCTCTATCAAATAAAATCTTTTTTATTTTTTTAAGATTTTATTTATTTATTTATTTTGACATTTCCCATTTGGTATTTTAATAAGTAGATAATTTCCTGACAGTAAATTTGATCAAGCCATTGGTGCATTATATAGCCATATATGTCTCCATCTTACCAATTTCTCCTGTTCATTTTTTCTTTACTTTCTTTATTCAACTGTGATTATTTTCTCAGTTTTTATATAATAAGAATGTCCCCATATCCTGCTTTTTATCAGCTGTTCTCCCAGCTGCTTAAATATCCATGGTAGATTATAGTAACAATTTTGATCATTTTTTCTTTATTTCTTAGATTCCTGAATTTGATAACTTGTACCTGGATATGAATGGAATCATACATCAATGTTCCCATCCTAATGATGATGATGTTCACTTCAGAATTTCAGATGATAAAATCTTTACTGATATTTTTCACTACTTGGAGGTGTTGTTTCGCATTATTAAACCTAGGAAAGTGTTCTTTATGGCTGTTGATGGTGTGGCTCCTCGAGCAAAAATGAACCAGCAGCGGGGGAGGCGTTTTAGGTAAAACATTTGTGGTTTATTTTAAAATACTACTTAGACTAATAAAATGTATTATTTTAAAGATAACTGACTTAGTACACTGAATCTTCTGTTCATGTTTCTTTTCTGCTTAAATTCCCCCAGAAACGGAAATAACTGATTATGTCACATTTTATCAATCAAGTAAACAAATTAGTAATTCAAGTGAGGTGTCCTTCTCAAAGCATATGTTGAGCTGTGTAGTTACTGTTGTTCTCTGTCATAAATTTTTCAAACTTCTCCTTGGTAATTTAGAAAGAGCGGTACAGGTGACCCTTGAACAATGCAGTGGTAAGTGGTGCCAGTCCCCACACAGTCAAAAATTCACATATAACTCAACTCCCCAAAATCTTAACTAATAGTCTACTGTTGACTGGAAGCCTTAGCAATAACATAAACAATAAACACGTACTTTTTATGTTGTATGTATTATATACCATATTATGGTAAGCTTAGAGAAAAAATGTTATTAGAAAATAGATTTACAGTACTATACTGTATTTATTGAAAAAAATCCATGTACAAGTGGACCCATTCAGTTCAAACTTGTGTTGTTCAAGGGTCAGCTGTAGTAGAGAAAGCTCCTCTCATAGTCTGTCCTGACCTAGAGAATTACGGGGTGCAATGAGAGATTGTTCTAATGGAAACTGACAGTTTAATTCAACAAACATTTGTTGAATGCCCAGACCCTGGGCTAGATAGATGCTCACTCTGACTGATTATGGGTCCAAATTGGACAGAAAAGCAAGTGAGACTAGAAGGTGATTGATGGAGTATGAGAAGACAGCTGAGTTAGGACACTTGAGATACTATCATCCACAGTGTGTGAGTTCGATAGGAAAAGTAACAGGATGAGAAGAGGCACGTAGAGTTTTAAAGTCAAAATCCTGAGCATGTGAAATAGTTTTAAAAAAAATGAGGTCATGCTGTGACCTTATTTATGAGTAGGATAAGTAAAGTTAAGAGGGTTGTTAGAATTGATGGGAAGACTCTGAGTCCAGTGTGTTTGATGTGTTGTTAGCATAATGAATCCTTTCATCACAACAGCAGGTAAAGGAGTGGAAAGGGCACCTGTGAATCAAATAGTGGAAATCATCAAGGAAGGTGGGAGGGTACCTTAGAGAAGGCTAGCAATGAGAATGTGAAAAGGATGGTAAAAAGTAGTGATTTAAATACCAAAAGAGAAAAGATAAGATATTCCAACAACTGTGACATCTTTAAAGACAAGGACCATCTCTTCTAAAATTTAGATCCTCAAGTACCACCCAAACTTAATTAATTTGAATCTCAGAAATTGGGCCCTAGAAACTGTTTTTTACCAGATTCCCCTGATATATGTTAAACTACTTTGGGGGGACTGCTGGGCTAGAAAATCTAGTGTTAAGAAAGGATTATATAAGCCCACTATATCAGTCACTGTTCAGTTGCAGAAATAGAAGCCTATTTTAAGCAGAAGGGGATATATTACAAAGAATTAGGTGCTTATAAAAATCATTGTAAGAGGGGCGCCTGGGTAGTTCAGTCATTAAGTGTCTGCCTTCAGCTCAGGTCACAATTCCAGGGTCCTGGGATCGAGCCCCACATCGGGCTCCCTGCTCCACGGGAAGTCAGCTTCTCCCTCTCCCACTCCCCCTACTTGTGTTTCCTCTCTCGCTGTGTCTGTCAAATAAATAAATAAAATCTTTTAAAAAAGAATCATTGTAAGAGCCAGAAGGATGGGAATTTAGGTGAGCCTTCAAGAATGACTTCAGAACAGCACCACAGAACTGACCCACCAGTGGCACGATTACTACAACATTCAAGAAGGTGAGGATTTCAGAGGCCCGCACCAGAACAGGTTGTTCCAGGAATTTATTCCTTTAGTTATAATCCAGGAATTAAGAAGATACTACCTGAACTATTGGTTCCAAAAATACATCGCTTTAGTTATAATTCAGCAATCAAGAAGCCACCACTGTATCTGTTAGCTCCAGAGCCCCAGTGTACCTGGTAGATCTGCCCTACACTTTGCTTCTTAGCACCTACAAAACTACTGAATATTGAGAGCTCTTCTACTATTGATGAAACATACACACACCCCACAAACCCTCTGCCTTAACAGTCATACAGATTTCACCACACTTCCACTTTCCAAACCTTTTGTGGAGGCATCTAACTGACAGAATCTAAGTTATATCCACTCACCTAGCTGCAAGGAAGCCCGAGATTTTAATTTTTTAGGTTTCTAACCTCTCCAGTATCAGAAGACAACCTAAGAGAATGAAATGGGTATTGAGTGCTCCATGTTTCCCTGAAATCCCCTACTCAGCTTTTTCTCATTCTCCACAGATACTATTTTCTCCATTCATAATCTTTAATTATAACCTTCTGTATCTCTTACTTTAAATCTGCTACCATCTGGCTTTCATCCCTACCACTAAAACCTCCTTACAAGATTACAAATAGACTCCTTATGACTAAATCTAAAGAATAATTCTCTCTATATGTTAACTTCATTTACCTCTGGTATTTAACAATGTGATGATTTTTTCTTTCTTGAACTTCCTTTCCTTGATCTTTATGTAACCACACTCTCTGACTGCACCTTCTTGATCTCCTTGTTATCTTCTCTTCCTTTGCCTTTTTCTTATATATTGATTTTTCTTAAGGTTCTATTCTTGGTCCTGAGTGATCTTATTCAGTGCTTTTAATTACCGTGTCTATACTGATGACTCACAAATTTATCTTCCTGGTGGATATCTCTCTCCAGAACCCCTATATAGCCAAATGTCTCCTAAATATCTCCTTTTGGATACCACAGATACATTTCCAGGTTTAACATGTTCAGAACTGAAGTCCACTTCAAAGCTGCCTGCCTTCTGTTTCCTATTTTGGTGAATGATAACAAAAGCAAATAACTGCTCAACCCAAGAGTCCAAGAGTAATTTGGACTATTTCTTCCTCATTCTCCACACCCAATCCTTATCCAGTCTCTTAAATTTGTCATACATATTTACTTTCCATCTTTACTGCTACTGGTCAGCCTAGGCTACCATAATCTTCCACCTAGATTAATAGTCTTTCCTTGCCCCTGCCCCAAACATTCTCTGTGTTGCAGCTACATTAAACATTGGCTGTTAAGTTCTCTGTCTCCCCACTAGAGTGTAAGGTCTGTGAAAATGGGAATCATTGCTGTTATAGTCCCAAAACTTGTCACATGGTAACATTGAATTTGTTCAATCAAAGGAAGGAAGGAGAGAAGAGAAGAAAGAATGGCTTCTATTGGAGAAATTACAAATAAGTTGATATCTTCAGATTTTGTTATATTGAGGAGGTTGGTAAGAGGTTACGTACGAAAAAGAGTTTGGTAAAAGGTTACACATGAAAAAGTTTATCATAGAAATAAAATTCCACAGGGCACAGTAGATAGAGCTAGTAGCAAGGCTGTAGAAAATGCACATAAAGCAGAGCTTCCTAACTTACATGCCAGTGGCATACAGCGTGCCAGAAATGGATTCCAGGAGAAGCAGAACAGGAATTGGGATGCCTGTATTCAGACCTAGGTCCGTCTGACTCTAAAACTCATGTTCTTTCTAGTAAATCCTATTGCCTCAAACGAGATGATTTTGGCAAATGATGTCATTAATGTTATTAGGCTTATATTTTAAATTTTTTATAAGGAAACCCAAAGGTATCTATTAAAATTGTACAGTTATTTTTATATAATATTCTTAGATCATTTTAGATCATTTTAATAATGTACTTGTTTGATGTTACTATTAAATATAGAATATAGTATATATAATGAATGTTTAATGTTCAACTTTTGAGCTTGTTTGTAGAATCGATTTGCTATATACTTATGATAAGAAAAGAATTGCTTTGTAACTATTTGTAACATTCTGTGTCGATTTTATACTGTTATAATGTCTACTTCTATAGTCCTTTCTCTGAAAAACTCAATTTTTTAAATAAGTAAAAATGAACAATTCTGAGGCTCATCTTTATCAATTATAATCATTTCAAAACTTGTATTATGTTTTGAACGTAAAATTGATTAATTAGTATTTTAGTTACAGAAGCATCTAAGTAACAGTTTACTTTATGTAAAGATCTGTACTTTTTCCCAGAAACCTTAAGATATTTTTTTACTTAACATTTAAGGTCAGCAAAGGAGGCAGAAGACAAAATAAAAAAGGCATTAGAAAAAGGAGAAACTCTTCCTACAGAGGCCAGATTTGATTCCAACTGTATTACACCAGGTAAATTCACTGAAAGAAAAATTCTGAGAGATTGATTTTTTTCTTAATAATTTTATTTATTTGAGAGAGAGGGAGCATGAGCAGGGGGTGGGGGGGTGGCGCAGAAGGAGAGGGAGAAGCAGGCTCCCTGCTCAGGATGGAGCCCGACATGGGTCTCAATCCCAGGACCTCAGGGATCATGACCTGAGCATAAGGCAGACAGCTAACCTACTGAGCCACCCAGGCGCCCCAAATTATGAGAGATTTAAATGTAAATGTAAATTTTTTTTTTCAAATGCATTTTTTTTTTCTAGCCTTTACTTATTTTGTCCTTAAAATTCCAAATGCTGTTTTCCCAGTTGTGTCCCCTCAGGAGATGTTTTGGTCACCTTGATTATAAGTGCTCCTAGGAAAACCCACTCCAGGGATTTACAGATGTCGATAAGAGCAGTTGTGTGCAGAACTCTCCCAGATGCACAGAACTTCAAACCTGGAAGGATCTCACAAGATCCATCCTACTCCCACCGTTTATTTGTATGAAAACTGACCCAGTGAGGTTGTGGCTCGCCCACGTTCATACAGCTAGCTGTTGTAATCAGGATAAGAAACCCATTCTCCTAGTTTAGAGCACTTACTCTTGTACTTCTTAAAGGCAGTTAAAAATTCTATGACTTTAATGATTTTATCAGTATTATAAGTTTAATTTAACTTTGTGTGCAACAACATACTCTGTACTTATTAGAGCTTTGTCTAACAATTACAATCCTTTACTTTGAAAAAAAATTTTAAATCTTATTTATTCATGAATTCTTTACTGTGGTAATTTGTGTTTCATTTAAGTGCCTTTATCATACATTGCTTGATTTAATAATCAATTTTATCCTAATTGTGGTTTAAGACTGCATTGCCATTGACTCTTGACCATCTGGACTTTTCCTGAAACATAATCACTGTAGACTCAGTTTCTAGGATAATAATAATAATTTTCCAGATAAATAGTAATAATAATAGTTGTTGTTATTAGCAATCTAATTAAAGCTGCATGCCTTAAAAAAAAAGGTTCAGAATCCAACAGAGGAAATAGAAGATTTAATCTCTTTTTTTTTTTAAAGATTTTATTTATTTATTTGACACAGAGAGAGCGAGAGAGGGAACACAAGCAGGGAGAGCTGGAGAGGGAGAAGCAGGCTTCCTGCGGAGCAGGGAGCGCAATGCGGGGCTCCATCCCAGGACCCTAGAATCATGACCTGAGCCAAAGGCAGACGCTTAACAACTGAGCCACCCAGGTGCCCCAAAGGTTGAGTTTCATTCGAGAGTTGAAACTGCTCTGGTGTGAAAATATGTGAAGCATAGTTTGAGGCAGTAGTAACATTTCTTGACTTACCTATGTAACATTAGCTTAATTTTAGGGTGAGCAGTGAAATGAGAAACAGTTGTAATACTTGCTAGAGAAAGGTACAAAATTATTTGCTTTTCAAGATAAGCATGAGGGGTTTGACTTCTTTAGAGATCTTACACCTAACTATTTCCTGGACGCACAGATCCAATTTCGTGTTGTCCCTGGGAACATAAAAAGAGTGCTTTTTATGTCTCTCTCAGATTACAAACTTTTGAAACTTTTTATTTATAGGGACTGAATTCATGGCCCGGTTACATGAACATCTGAAGTATTTTGTAAATATGAAAATTTCTACAGATAAGTCGTGGCAAGGAGTTACCATCTACTTCTCAGGCCATGAGGTTATTATCTTTTTTTATTCAAAGAGATTTTTTAAAATTTAATATTCTAAAGCATAGCATTATTACCACATTTTTTTAAAACATATATTTAGACTCCCGGAGAAGGAGAGCATAAAATCATGGAATTTATCAGATCGGAGAAAGCAAAGCCAGATCATGATCCAAACACCAGGCATTGTCTTTATGGTTTAGATGCTGACTTGGTAGGTATAATGTTTATTATTATTATAACCTTATGCCATTATAGTTAAATATCTAAGAGACTTATATAAGAAGCTTTCTGGCTGTGGAAACAAATATTGGAGACATAATAAGGGTTGCTACTTCTGCCATTAGCGAGGTTCTTAAACAATTGGAAAATGAACTCTTTTGATACAGTTTATGATCAACAGGTCTCTGTAGTCTTCATACTTGACTGATCCTAGTGCTATGAATACTCTGCTGAGATCAGGGTGTAGAGGGCGTTTTTTACCCTCATGCTTGATATATCACTTTTAATAATACCTGATCTGATAACTCCATGACCCAAATAACTTTACTATGCTTTTTTTTGTTTTAACTTTTTATTATGGAAATTTTCAAACGTAAAGTAGAGAAGACAATATAATAAACCTTCCTATGTCCTTTATCCACCTGAAATAATTTTCAACTTTAAATAATCCACCTTAATTATTCAATAATTTTCATTTTCTTATTCCTAACCATCTGTCTCCATTCTCCTACTCCTCTGACTCTTGAATTATATCCCAGACATTGTATCAGTTAATCTATAAATATTTATAATGTGTCTTTAAAGGAGAAGCGTTGTTTTAAAAGATAACCATAATGCCATTATCCTACATAAAATAAAAATTATCACTGTATAATATACAAATAACCATTTAGTATTCTCATTTCTCTGATTGCTTCATAAATGTTTCATCTTGTTTTGTTTGAATCAGGATTGAAATAAACAGTGATTGTTATAAAGGTCATGTGAGTCTAAGGTAAACATTTTTTCTTAGAAAAACACACTTCACCCCATTCATAACCAATAAGTGGATCAGGTTTTGATATTTGTATATTTAATGTGCTAATAAATTGTTTTTATTAAATAAGCATGTGTTTTTCTATATAGAAATGTTTTTTATTTAGTTGTTTCTGTGAACCTGATACTATAAAAAATTAGAGAATAGAGACATTTTTTAATCTTTTTTCAACAGATTATGCTTGGATTAACAAGTCACGAGGCACATTTCTCTCTTTTAAGAGAAGAGGTTCGGTTTGGTGGCAAAAAGACACAAAGGTAAATCATATTGCATATATGTTAGAAGAAAGAACAGCAGTTAAATTAAGAATAGTAATCATCTAACAGAAAAATGATCTGTAAAGATTTTCTCCCATTCCACGGTTGCCTTTTTAACTCTGCTGAAATTTGATGCACAAAATTTGTTTTTTAATTATGACAATGTCCAGTCTATTTTTTTCTTTTATTGCTGTACTTAGAGTATATCCAAGAAATTGCCAAATCTAATGTCATAAAGCTTTTCCCAATTTTAGGAGTTTTGTAGTTTTAGTCCATACACTTAGGTCTTTGATCCATGTTATTAATAACCGTATATGGTGTAAGGAAAGGGTCAACTCCATTCTTTTGCATGTGAATATCCAGTTTTCCCAAAACCGCTTGTTGAAAAGAGTAGCTTTTCCCCATTGAATGGTCTTGGCACCTTGGTCAAAAATTGTTTGACCATGTATGCAAGAGTTTATTTTTAGGCTCTGTATTCTATTCAATTGATCTTTATGTTTGTCTTTATGCCAGTACCACAGTATTTTGGTTACTGAAGCTTTGTAGTAAGTTTTGAAATCAGACAGGGTGAGACCTCCAACTTTGTTCTCCTTTTTCAGGTTTATTTTGGCTATTTGGGGTCTCATGAGATTAATAATTTTTAGGATGGATTTTTTTGTTTTTGTGGAAAACATTGGGATTTTGATTGGGATGGCATTGAATATGTAGATTCTTTTGGGTACTATTTACAGCTTGATAATAAGTCTTCCAACCCATTAATACAGAATGTTTTTCCATTCATTATGTCTTTAATTTTTTTCAGCTGCCTTTTGTAGTTTTAGTGTATAAGTCTTTTGTCAACCCTTTTTTTTCTTACTTGTTTTTCCGTTTATTTAAAAAATAATTAATGTAGTCACCATGTTATACATTAATTACATCTCTAGGACTTATGTATCTTATAACTGAAAGTTTCCACCTTTAGGCCACCTTCCCCCATTTTGCCCAACGCTCACTCCCCCACCTCTGGGAACCATCTGTCTATTCTCTGCATCTGTAAGTTCAGTTTTGTGTCTCTGGTTTTGTTTTTTTTTTCTTTTGCCTCCTTGGTCAAGTTTATTCCTAAGTGTTTTATTCTTTTGGATGGTATTCTAAATGGAATTGTTTCTTAATTTCTTTTTTGGGTTATTTGTTGCTAGTATGTAGACACACAGCTGATATTTATGTGTTGATCTTGCTTCCTGCAGTTATACTGAATTCATTTTTTGGCTCTAGTAGCTTTTTGTGGATTTTGTGGGATTGTCTGTATATGGAATCATGGCATCTTTAAATAGAGATAGTTTTCTTCTTTTTTCAATTTGTATACCTCTTATTTCTTTGCTTACCTAATTGCCCTGGCTAGGACTTCAAGTACAATGCTGCTGAATAGCTGTAGTGAAAATGGGCATCTTTGTCTTGTTCCTGATCTTAGGTGGAAAACCTTCAGTCTTCTCCCATCAATTATATTAAATGTAGATTTCTCATGAATTCCCTTTTTTTATATTGAGGAGTTTCCCTTCTATCCCTACTTGGCTGAGTACTTTTATCATGGAAGGGTATTGAATTTGATAAATGTTTTCTTTGCTAGTTGATTGTATGGTGTTTTTTCCTTTGTTTATTAATGTGATCTATGACGTTGATTTATTTTCTTGTGTTGAGCCGTCCTTGTATTCCCCAGGGTAAATCCACTTGCTCATGGTATCTAATCCCTTTAAAATACTACTGTCAGTTTACATTCTTACTTCTGGTTAAACTTTATTAGAGTATTGGCCAATAGCTAGGAATATAGACCCCTAAACCAAGCCAGGGAAAGATAAGAGGAAAGAAGTGATGGTGCCTCACCATTGAAGCCTTAGACTGTACTGCAATAGGCAGAAAAGTATATATACTCACTTATCTGTATGCTTTCTGCTGGTGACCAAACTTAAATGGGCCAGATCCCACTGGTTTCTTATATCTGTTCTCTTATTTAGGCTTTCTTAATTCTGAGAATCTTTCCACAGAAAGCATAATGCAGACCAATTATTTTGAACTTTATGTTATATCTATTATACTTTTATCTTTACACTACCCTGCAGCTTTCATATAAATTACATGCCTGGATTACAAGAATTAATTATCATCTAATGATAAGTTTTATTTTAAGCGTTGCTGCATTTTTAAACTTGAACCTTAAAGATATAATTAATTCTGTGTTGATTATTTGACTAATTACAGGGTATGTGCACCAGAAGAAACCACATTTCACCTCCTACACTTGTCTTTAATGAGAGAGTATATTGACTATGAGTTTTCAGTATTGAAAGTAAGTATTAATATAGCTGTGGACCAAAGATGTGTTAGCAGGGATTTCCATACGATTTGATTTTTTTCTCCATTTTGCTGTAGGACAAGATCACTTTTAAATATGATATTGAAAGGATAATAGATGATTGGATTTTGATGGGATTTCTTGTTGGCAATGATTTTATCCCTCATCTACCTCATTTACATATTAATCATGATGCACTGCCTCTTCTTTATGGAACGTATATTACCATCCTGCCAGAACTTGGTGGTAAGAAAAGTTTAATATTCATTGGAGACTACTTTAATTTAGCACTCAGCTAACCCTAAAAATTTCACTCAGTTTATTAGATTATTGCGTGCACAACTACAGTAGGGAAAAAACTGGGGGTTTCTTTTGGTCTAAGGCACCAAGCTCTGGGGTTGTAATTTTCAGTGATTCGCAAGCAAAGAAAATGACAAGAGTTAAGCAGCCTCATTTATTGATATCTGACTAATCTCTGCCTTTGATTGTTTAAGAAAGCCAGCAGAAGTTGTTGATTTCACTTAGCTCCTTTCATACTAAAGCATAGAAGTTCATTTTTCTGAATGGATAGGTATCAGAATATTTAATAGGGAAAGGTTTTTCAATTGAGAAATTGATAAACAGTGGTGAGTGCTGAATAAAACAGACAGCAGAATAGCAGGGCATTAGTTCTTCTCAAGTTAACATATTAAATGAATAATCTGGATAGATTTTAGAACATATTTAATTAACTATTACCAGATGTTGGAAATGTGGTAGGATTATTATGTGAACCTGGAATTTCTTTTATTTTACTTTAGTTGTTACATATTTTATATTATCATAACACCAAGTTCATAGACACTAGAGTCAGTTATATAGCCCAACTCTGAGTGTTTTTTCTTGGTTAGTAGAGTGCCAACATTCAATATTTTGTAAAAAAGAATTTTGTAGAATTGTTTAGAAAAAATAGTGTCCGCTTTTAGTACAAATTTAGATTTTGTTCCTTTTAGGTTATATTAATGAAAGTGGGCATCTCAACTTACCTAGATTTGAGAAATACCTTGTGAAACTATCAGATGTAAGTAACTAGATATTTTTATTTTCTTGTCCCAGCGTAGCTATAAATGGTCAGAAGCCAATTACATAATGTCAGAAAAAAGTTTTGGTACTTCTACTCCAATTGATCATCTGTGTAATTTCACCTAAATTTATTTTTATTTGCTTTTTATTTTTAATTTTCAGACTAGTAGATGAGGTCCCCATGTGCATAAAAAAGTAACATTCTTTGATTTCCTATGCCCCAGAAGTGGCTCAGTCGTTAAGTGTCTGCCTTCGGCTCAGGTCATGGTCCCAGGGTCCTGGGATCGAGCCCCACATCGGGCTCCCTGCTCAGCGGGAAGCCTGCTTCTCCCTCTCCCACTCCCCCTGCTTGTGTTCCCTCTCTCGCTGTCTCTCTCTCTGTCAAATAAGTAAGTAAAATCTTTTAAAAAAAAAAGAAAACCCTAGCAGATATATCACAATATACCATTAAAAAAAAAAAACTGTTAAAAGTTTGGTTTGTATTCTCCCAGACATACTTAATTATTTTTAAATGAATTTAAATATATTTATACAGTTTGATCGGGAACACTTCAGTGAAGTTTTTGTGGACCTAAAGTGGTTTGAAAGCAAAGTTGGTAACAAGTACCTCAATGAAGCAGCAGGTGTTGCAGCAGAAGAAGCCAAGACCTACAAGGAAAAGAAAAAATCAAAGGTGTCCATTTTTTTAGGTGTCCTTTCATTTTTTTAGCTGTAAAGGTAAAACTGATATTCCTTGTTCCTCATTTTCCTTATGATTTTTAGGGTTGCCTCATTTCATTTTCATTTCTTATTTTCTCCTATTGAACATTTAAAAATTTTTTTTGGTTTCTTCTCTGTTAGATCTTATCATTTAAATCTGATCTTTAAAAATCAACTTCTTATTTTTACCTTTGAAGAAGAACATTGTGTTTTCTTTGTTCATCCTATTAATAAGTGTAGAAAAACTTCTAAATATAAGAGCCCAGAAAATTAGTTATCTTTTGTAAAATGTGGGTATTTATAGCATTTAATATTGAGACATCAACTAGATCAGTGATTTTTCCCTAGAAGTAATTTATATATAAAATCATATATAAAAAACAGCAGTTGGCTAGTTTAAGAGTAAATAATAGCACAATAGCTAATAAATGCTAGGCGCTCAATAAATAAATAATAGAATCAGTTAGAATATGCTAATACCCTAAAAACATCACTAATAAGCTCTAAAGAATGTCTTATATGTGTTAGCTTGGAAAAGAAACCTCTTCTGAAATTTTCCTCAGCCTATTCGTAGTTACTGGGTTCTGATAAAATTAAGGAATTTCCTGCACTCTTCTTGCTATACTGGTTCTATTTAGGTTCAAGTCTAGTAATTGTTGCTCCAGGAAGAGTATTTATCCTGATTTTCTCTAGTATAGTGCTTCTAATTGATTAGATTTTTCTCAGTGAAACTTAGGAGCAGTCAGTTTGCTTTCTACTCTGTTTTTTCTCTTAAGGAAATAGTCTCAGCAATTTTTTGGGAATCTGTACTTGACTCACAAAACTTACACATCAGTAATCCCTGGCTCCACGCATTTCAGCCCAGTCCTTAAGCTTCACAAGTCTTCAGGCATGTGTAGTTACTGTTAAAGACACTGGCAAAGTGAGAGGAACTAGAGGAAGAGCCCACGCAAAGGAAGTCAGCAGAGGCTGTAGTTTGGATGAACAAAGGGGAATGGGAATAAGGGAGTAAGAAGAACTAATGAGAATCACTGGCAGTAGATAGGCAATCAGAAAATAGAGGAGAGAAAAGTTGAGATCACAAGGGGGGAAAAGCAGATGGGCAAGATAGGAAGAATGTGTTGAGATGTGAGAACTCTAGAAAAGCAAATGAGTTGCATGAGAGAAAAATTTAGAAGTGGGGAATAGAAAACAGAGTTATAAGAATGATGGAATCCAAAGATACAGAAAACATGTAATATTTGTAATCATTGGATTCAATTATAAACAAATAGATTATGTTAACACAATAGGTGAGAATTACCTATTACATATTTTTGAGAGGCCTGAATAATGAAGATTTAGAAAACAAGTGATATGAAACCAAAACATTTACATAGTATTTGAGGATTATTTTTTGAATGAACTTTCACTTAAGGATCATTCAGTGCTTTTTACTGTTTTTTAAATCTCCCTATTCAATTATCTTACTTTGAAATACATCTTGCCATTAATTTTATATTGATTTATAATTTTTGTAGGGCCAGGAAAATGCCATTTGTTGGGCTGCTTTAGACAAAAATGGAGAAGTGGTAACTTCTAAGGGTGAGTACAAACTCTGTATTCACTATGTTATTTTTTTGACAAGATAATTATTGTATCATTCCTTAGTAAGTACTAATTAATAATATTGGATGGAACAGATTTCTGTGTTAGTTTGTAAGCAGCTGCTTTAATATATATTTATCAAAACTGTAGGTGGAAAAACAATATAATTTTCAGCCACTATCTTTTGGCTTTTTTTCCAGATAATTTAGAAGATGAGACTGAAGATGATGACCTATTTGAAACTGAGTTTAGACAATATAAAAGAACATACTACATGACGAAGATGGGAGTTGATGTAGTGTCTGAGTACGTTTTTACCAATGCTTTTACTTTAAAATAGAAAAAATTAGATTTTGCAGTTCTTCAAAAAACAGCATAATTTTGATAGTTAAGGTAGTGGGCAAGGAGAATTTTTTGGTTACATAAATTATTGTAGTGTCAGTCTTTCAACGGCTGTGGTTTTGGAGAAGGTGATAACTGACATGTATTATATTCCTGTGGTAAAAAGTTAGCAAGTAGAAAATGGTTAGTTTTTTTTTTCCTTCCGTTTTCTGAATTCACATCAAACTCATCTCAAAGGCTACCTGGCTTAAAAAAGAAAAAAAAAAAGGCTACCTGGCTTAGCCCCAAGTTAATACCTAGCCCAAAAGTTCCTTAAGAACTTGACCTCTAGAATGGTAGCTTTCACAGTTTTAAACTGCAGCCCACAGTATGAACTACATATGTTTGTATTTTATTTAGTTGACAAAATCTTATGAAGTGCTTACCGAGTACCAAGTGCTAGTCTAAGCAATTTTAAAATATTGACTGACTTAATTCTCACAACAGTTCTTTAAGATAAATAAATTACTATTTTATAATAGAAGAAATTAAGGAATGGAGAGGCTTTTTTTTTTTTAGATTTTATTTTTAAGTAATCTCTGCACCCAATGTGGGGCCCGAACTTACAACCCCAAGGTCAAGAGTCATATGCTTTACCAACTGAGCCAACCAGGATTTGAGAGGCTTAAGTGACTTACCAAGGTGACATAGTCAGTGAGTGGCAGAGCCAGAATTTGAACATAGGCATTCTGGCTCCAGAGTTAATACTCTCTTTCTCTCTCTGTCTCTCTTCTCTCTTTTTTAAGTAATCTCTACACCCAACATGGATGTAGAACTCACAATCTCAAGATCAAGAATCACATGCTCTACTGACTGAGTCAGCTTAGGTGCCCCCAGTTAATACTCTTTTTTTTTTTTAAAGATTTCATCTATTTGTGAGGGAAAGAGAGAGTGAGCATGTACAAGCAGGGGGAGCAGCAGGCAGGAGGGAGAGGCAGGTTCCCCGCTGAGCAAGAAGCCCAGTGTGGGACCTGATCCCAGGACTCTGGGATCATGACCTGAGCCGAAGGCAGACGCTTAACCAACTGAGCCTCCCAGGCGTGCCCCCAGTTAATACTCTTAACCACTGGATGAGACTGCTTCTCTTTAAGTGAGATAAGAGTTTCATGAAATGCTATGTACCCTTTTACATACTTAGATATTATACTTACATATTTTCTATACTATTCTTATCTTTCTTTTTTAATATAATAAAACACTAAATATTAGATCTTTTCTAGACCCTGCCCAGAGATAGACCCAAGCTTTTGGACATTGCTTTATATACTCTCAGACTGTCTTCTAGTCTAGTCTAGACATAGTATTTCTGGTCTATATTCATACTGACCTCCAGGAACTAGAGGTACAGGAATTCTAGTACTATTCACCAGCTCATTTGAAGCTTTGTCAAGTACCACTAGCATGTAAGACTTCTGAGACTTGAGAAATCTCACTGTGTCTCTGTCAAATGAATAAATAAAATCTTTAAAAAAATAAGTAAAATAGTTATGCTTTTAATCTTTTATTCCTTAATCCTTATATTTCCTTGACTGCAGTTACATAGTGCTGTAATACCTGCTTTTGGCAGTACATTCTTAATTTGATAGCTAACAAATCTTGTGTTTTATTTCCCTTCCCTTTTATATATTAAAATATAGACTTATGAAAATATGATACCATTTGTTTGCCTAACAAATAAGCAAATCTTTTAAAATCGTTATGTTCAATGTTAGTCCAGAAGTGATGGTAGTTTTCTTTCCTAATTACTGGTGGAAATGTAAATTGGTAAAATTATTTTGGAAAGTGTGTATCCAAAAGTCTTTAAAATGTTTATCCCTTTGACTCAGTAATTCTAATTATTAATCTGTCTTAAAAATATAAACTGAAACACCGAAGATTCTTATACACAAGGATGTTTATTGCAGAGTTTTTTTATAATAGCACAAAATTAGAAATGATCTACATGTCCTCATAATCATGTCCACTTCCCCTGTGTCATAGTCACCATCTTGCCATAACACTGTCCTCAGAATCTGTAGAACTGCTAAACTGGTACTTATAAAAGGTTTGTAACAATTTGGAAAGATACTTATAGTATATTATTAAGCACAGATTTCAAAAGCAGGACACCAAATCATGTATACAGTATACTCTAAGTAATATTAAACATAAAAAACCAACCAACCTGGGCATAGAAAAAAGACCGAAAAGAAACATACCAATATGTAATAGTGATTGCTGTAAGGTGATAAAAATGCTTTTCTTTATTGTCTAGATTTTCAATAATGAGAAAATATTTTTTAATGAAAAATTAATGTTTCATTTTCAAAAGTATACCTCCCAGAAATACTGAGATCTGGAATTTCTAAATGCCATCTCTACCTGAATTTTGGTAACAGCCACTAGCAGGTTTATGGCTACTTTTTGGCTTTAGCCCAAGTCTCGTGTGTGGGTGTGGGTGTGTGGGTGTGTGTATATGTATTTTACCTTAAATGTATTTTACCTTAAATGATGGTCTTTGAGAAAGAAAGGATTTAGAGGGAATATTGTTCAGTGAATATAGCATTTTTCAAAGTGTGTTCTAGCTGCTCTAACCAGATTCTGTGATCTTCCTCATTTCCTCCTGTGATTTTTCTCAGGCATCCTCCCAGATAAAGTTTCCTATCCCTGTCTCCTATCACACCCTGACTATTTAGGACAGTGGTAGTGCCACTTGATCAAAAGCTTCATTGGCCAAATCCTCAAACTCTAAACCACAGGCATGGTACATTGACTGGATAAATATGCACAGTAGGTTTAAGTATTCTGATGGACAGTTTAGGGAAACTGTATGGCTAACCTTTAATCTGACAGGATGGAATTTGTTTTAAATAATATTTTGGAATTTTTCTGATTACAATTTTTAGCTTATTCATTGATTATATAAAACATAGGTGAGGCAGAGTGTATCAGCAGATCATGCTCTAAAGACAAATGGCCTGTCTTCAAAAATTAACATTGTAATGAAAATATTCTTTTCTATTTTCAGCGACTTTCTGGCTGATCAAGCTGCATGTTATGTTCAGGCAATACAGTGGATTTTGCACTATTACTATCACGGAGTTCAGTCTTGGAGCTGGTGAGGAATACAAACAAAAATAAAGTTTTGATTTTTTTTTTTTTTAAATAATGGTTTGTTCTCCTATAATCTCATTTGGGGTTCTTTTTTCTCTTTATTTCTATTTATGGTGGCATTTTTAAAAAAATACATATAGCCAAGTTTAAATGAAATACAGGTAATCTTTTCTTATATGAAAATACTTTTTAAAGACCTTTGTGTAACAGAGATACTTCCAGTCCTAGCAGATGGCCAATAATGAAAGCTCTTTAAATCTAAGGATTTAAAATTCTCTATTATGTTGAATCAACTGTGACAGAGTATTGATAATTATTGGGTTTGAGTGATGGTTATATAGGGTTGTTCGTTATATTCTTTGCTACATTATCATGTGTTTGAAAAAATTTTTCTCTCAAGAGTGATTATTAAAGAGGGCGCCTGGGTGGCTCAGTTGGTTAAGCGACTGCCTACGGCTCAGGTCATGATCCTGGAGTCCCAGGATTGAGTCCCGCATCGGGCTCCCTGCTCAGTGGGGAGTCTGCTTCTCCCTCTGACCCTACCCCCTTTTGTGCTCTCTCTCTTACCCTCTCTCTCAAATAAATAAAATAAAATCTTTAAAAAAAAAGTTATTATTAAAGAATGGGTTATTTGAATGTTAGACTGGGAAGGGTGAAGAAGAAAGGCGAAAGGAATTATTTGCTTTTCCTTGAAATAGTAATAATTTTCCATTTCTCTCATGTTTCCTATTCCAGCAAGTTCCATCTACTTTTCTAAACTATCCACCAGAATAGAAAAATAACAAACCAAAAAATGATACAGGAAAAAGGAAAGACTTTTAAGTGATGAGATTGTTTTTTGTTTGTTTGTTTTAAGATTTTATTTATTTATTTGAGAGAGAGAGAATGAGAGATAGCACGAGAGGGAAGAGGGTCAGAGGGAGAAGCAAGACTCCCTGCTGAGCAGGGAGCCCGATGTGGGACTCGATCCCGGGACTCCAGGATCATGACCTGAGCCGAAGGCAGTCACTTAAGCAACTGAGCCACCCAGGTGCCCTGTTTGTTTTGATAACACCTTTGCTAGGCTTTGTTTTAAAGCACCATACAGGAAAACAAACTAACTGATTTCACTTAATTACAGTCTTTTAAAAAAATTTTTGCAATAACTACCTAATTCTCAGGGCCTCTCTGAAGAGCCTTCTAATGACAAAAATCCTTGATTTGCCATTTCTTAATAGGGTGAGTGTAAACTAATCTTATTATGTATCATGCATTAAGGCCAGGCACTTGAAAAGCATGTTCTCATATCCTCACCACTATAAAGTAACTATCGTTGTCTGACTTTTACAGATGAGGCTCAGTTATCTCTATTACTTTAGAAAGCAATCTTTCTTTATTTCTTTTCTTCTTTCTTTTTTTTTTGGAGAGGGAGAGAGAAAACGGAACGGAGGGGCAGAGGGAGGGGGAGAAAGAATCTTAAGCAGGCTTCATGCCCAGCGCAGAGCCCAACGCAGGGCTCAGTCTCAAAACCCTGAGATCATAACCTGAGCCAAAATCAAGAGTTGGATGCTTAACCAACTGAGCTACACAGGCACCCCAGAAAGTAATCTTTCTAAAAGCATACACCCAAGAATCAAGTCTAAGCCTATCTGATTCGAAAGTCTATACATTTTCCATTCTAAATGCTATCTGCCTCCTAAACTTTCTCATCTTTTTGAAATATGTCATAATTGTGGGAAAAAATATTTCTTCTTTAGCATCCTTAGTCAAACATTAAAAAGAGTGAAATTTTTTAAAAATTGTATGTTTAAAGCTTTGTAAAAAATATTTATACCTGTAGTTATAGACGGGAAGGCATTAAAAACAAAAATAGTGTGTATGATTGATAAATGGTTTAATCCTATATATACCAATTCAAAGATGTAAAAGTTCTTAGAGCTGACTAGTAACAGCCACATGAGCTCAGACTCACTGTTCTCTCTGTGCTCTTGAGAGAGGCTCTAGCTCATGTGTGCTAACTGAAAGTCTTCTGACCATGTCAGTACATATTCTAAGAGTCTACTGATTGGAAGATTCACACTCAATATCTTGGAAGCTAAAAGGACCATAATATTTTATTTATGTAAACATACATATATATACACACACATATATTTTATATAAACACACATATATGTGTGTGTGTTTATATCTGTATCCTTCAATTACATGATACATCCCAATTTTGGAAATGTGAAATTATACCTTAAAAATTAAGGAAATACAGGGGCACCTGGGTGGTCCAGTTGGTTAAGCATCTGCCTTTGGCTCAGGTCATGATCCCAGGGTCCTGGGATCGAGATGCGCATTGGGCTCCTTGCTGGGCGGGGAGCCTGCTTCTCCCTCTCCTTCTGTCTGCCGTCCCCCTGCTTGTACTCTCTCTCTCTGTCAAATAAATAAATAAAAGCTTTAAAAAACAAATTAAGGAAATACAACATTTGTTGCCATCACATGACCTAAATATGCTAGTGCTGCTGATTTCTTAAATCAAGTGATAGTACTATGGGTGATCATTTTTTTTCTTTAGAGTTATTGCTGTGTTGCTAAATAAGGAAAAGTATATATTTAATATTGACCTGTTTCATAAAGTTGCCAATTGTTTAAAACTCAGTTTTGTTTTATAGGTATTATCCCTACCATTATGCACCTTTCTTATCTGATATCCGTAACATCAGTACACTCAAAATCCATTTTGAACTAGGAAAACCTTTTAAGCCATTTGAACAGCTTCTTGCTGTACTTCCAGCAGCTAGCAAAAATTTACTTCCTACATGCTACCAGGTGAGTTTTAAAATTAAATGTTTTTATGTCCTTTTTGATACTTAGGAGCTCCTCATACAAGCCTAGAAGCCTTTGATTGTTCTGTGCCCGTGCCATACTGGTTATTAAATATTTTTGTATTACCCTGAGAAATATGCTGTTTTATTTATTTAAAAAATGTTATACTATAATCTTTTGTAGTTCTTTCCTAGAAGACATACTTGTGCTTTCTTCATCTATCTGTTATAAAATGTCCAATTAAAAACATGTCTTTTTATTGGACCTTTCATCTTTGCTATTAGTGATGAAGAGATTCTTGGATTTTAGAATTTTTTCCTTTTTAAATTATCTCAGATAATTTAAACTTAGATCATATATTACTTAACAAAATCAATTGATTAGGACACAAAAGTACAAAAGTAAACAAGGTTAAAAATGGAGGACTATTGGAAGCCTGTGAAATGAAGTCTGAGAACAGAATTTAAGTGGGCCTTAAAGAGTGATAAGACAATAGATAGAAATGGTTAAGTTGAAATTCAGAGTAAAGATGGTTTTGCTACATAACTAGGTCACTGGAATGGGAAAGTGATGAGTAGCAGTGAAATTAGAAGTCTCATAGCTGAAAATCAAAAATATAGCAAGTATATTGCAACATTTCTAAGATGTAAAACTTTAGTTTTGCTTTTGCGTAGGAATTTTAAACTGTAACATGAGTAAATATTGTAAATATATTAACAAAAAGTTATATTGATATTATTTTTATATTTCTATTACTCTTTTATATTTCCATAGCACTTGATGACCAGTGAAGACTCACCAATTATAGAATATTATCCACCTGATTTTAAAACTGACCTAAATGGGAAACAACAGGAATGGGAAGCTGTGGTACTAATACCTTTTATTGATGAGGTCAGTACATGAAATAGTTATATATACACATATATTCTTTCTTTCTTCCAAGTTTTTGTTTAAATTCCAGTTAGTTAACGTATAGTGTAATATTATTTACAGGTGTAGAATTTGGTGATTCATCACTTATGATACCTGGTGCTCACCACAACACTTGCCCTCCTTATTCCTCATCACCTGTTTAACCCGACACCCTGCCCACCTCCTCTCCAGTAACCCATCAGTTTGTTCTTTATGATTAAGAGTCTTTTTCTTGGTTTGCCTTTTCCCCCACTGCATTCGTTTGTTTCTTAAAGTCCTCATATGAGTGAAACCATATGGTATTTGTCTCTCTCTGACTTACTTCACTTAGCATAATCCTCTCTAGCTCCATCCGCCTCATTGCAATGGCAAGAGTTCATTCTTTTTTATGCCTGAGTAATATTCCATTGTATATATATACACCACATCTTCTTTATCCATTCATCAGTCAGTGGACATTGGGCTCTTTCCATAGTTTGGCTATTGGTGGAAATGCTGCTGTAAACACCGGCGTGCATTTATCCCTTTGAATTAGTATTTTTATATCCTTTAGGTAAGTGCCTAAAGGTATTTACTACTGGATTGTAGGGTATTTCTATTTTTAACTCTGAGGAATCTCCATACTGTTTTCCAGAGTGGCTGCAGCAGTTGGCATTCCCACCAACAGTGTAAGAGTGTTCCCCTTTCTTCACATCCTTGCCAACACCTGTTATTTCCTCTGTTGTTAATTTTAGCCATTCTGACTGGTGTGAGGTGATATTTCATTGTAGTTTTGATATTTATTTCACTGATGATGAGTGATGTTGAACATGTTTTCATTTATACACATATATTCTTAGAGATTATTTCACATAAGTTAATGAGCAATGGGTTTTAATCACCATTTATGTTTTATTAATGAGATTTAACTACTCTCTTCTTCATTATGCTCATCAAAACTTCTAGGTATGCTAAGAAAGCCAGAGTGGCTTTACTCACATTAGAAAAATAGACTTCAGGACAAGGAGTATTACCAGAGATCAAGAAGAATATTTCATATTGATTAAAAAATCAAGTAAGGGGGCGTCTGGGTGGCTGTCGTTAAGCATCTGCCTTTGGCTCGGGTAGTGATCCCGGGGTCCTGGGATGGAGTCCCACATCATGCTCCTTGCTCAGCGAGGAGTCTGGTTCTCCCTCTCCCTCTGCCCCTGCTTGTTTCCGCTCTCTTGCTGTGTCTCTCTCTGTCGAATAAATAAAATATTAAAAAAAAAAAATTGAGTCAGTTTGGGGCACCTGGCTGACTCAGTCATTAGAGCATGTGACTCTTGATCTTGGGGTTATGAGTTAAAGCTCCATGTTAGACACAGAGATTACTAAAAAAAAAAAAAAAAAATCGGTTCATCAAGAAAATATATCCTGAATGTATATGTACCTTACAGCAGAGCTTCAAATACATAAAGCAAAAGCTATCAGAATTGAAAGGAGAAATAATTAAAAGGGAAATTCGAAAATATTGTGATCTAAATGATAATAAATACACAACATAATCTGTGTGATGAAGCTAAAGCAGTGCCTAAAGGGATGCTTAAGTTTCTAGATGCTTATACTGAACAAGAAAAAGTCTTACAATAAATTATCTAAGCTTCCTACCACAAGAAGCTAAAAATGCAAGAGAAATTAAACCCAAACTAAGCAGAATGAAGGAAATAATAAAGATAGGAACAGAAATCCATAAAAAATGAACAAACAATAGAGAAAAATCAATGGAACCAAAAGCTCTGAAAGTAAATTATACCTCAAAAAAAGTGTCCTCTCAGGGTGGGGGGGAGGGGGACAAAAACTGACATGATTATGGAGTGGAGGAAACAAGTGTTTATTCACATCTCATTAATTTTTAAACAAGAACACTTGTTATATGCGAAAAGATACTTGCTAGCCACCAGACAGGATTAAGTTGTGACATAGTCATTATAGCCTGCATGTCTACAAACTTAGTTCCATGTAGATAGTTATTGTTGTTCATCCAGTTATCACATTAGTTCATTGTGATTGAATTTTAAGGTTGGACACCTCAATGAAATTTTAACTGTTTTCAACAAAATTGCATTATGATATTACCACTGAAACAAAACTTGTAGCTGGCAGAATTACCATATTCTTTTATATTTTTTGGACCAAAAGCTCAGAATTTACACAAGAAATTACCTGAAAGTGGGTACGTAAGATGTAAAAAGAAAAATTCCTGTTATAGGATAGTCAGTGAAAGTATATGCTGGTGGAAATTACTAAATAGGAATAGATGATAAAATTTTCAGAACTGAGAAATTGTCATGAAAAATTATTACACAAACTCTGGTGCTAGAAACAATTTACCTGCAGACGAGCTGTTTGCCATGTGTACTCTCACCCTTGCCTTCACCCTCACCCTTGCTCTCTAGTGGAGTTGGTTGTCTGAGATGATTTCATTGATATGATTGGTGGTTGGTGTTAGTTGTGAGCTGAGCCCTCTATGTGATCCCTCACCCTCCAGGAGGCTAACTCAGGTTTATTCTCACAGTGATCTTGGGTTCCAGGAAGGTGAGAACAGAAGCTACAGGGCCTCTTGAGCTTTGGAGTTTGCATAGTATCACTTTGACTGCATTCTTTTGAATAAAGCAAGTTATGAGACCAACTTGGATTTAAGAAAGAGGGAAATAGACTGCTTTCTTAACATTTAAAGGAGCTTGCATACGAAGATAGGAGGAATTATTATGGCTGTCTTTGCAAACCATCTACTACAGTCTGCCCCCTTTGGCTAAAATTTGCATCCCATTCAAATACAAAACACACTGACCTCTCCCAAAAATTTCATCTCATTATACATCAGACTCAGAGCCTAGAATTTCATCTTTAAATCGAGTCTAGATGTGGATTAAGCTCCTCAAATGCAGCTCCCCAGGGACAGCTCTCCTGACTCAGAGACCTGTGAATTAAAAAAAAAAAATTATCTACACTCCCCAACATACCCAAATTTGTATTGGAGAGACAATGACAGGAGCCCGATGTGGGGCTTGATCCCAGGACCCTGGGATCATGACCTGAGCCGAAGGCAGATGCTTAATGACTGAGCCACCCAGGTGCACCTATTATTTTTAAGATTTATTTATTGGAGGGGAGGGGCAGAGGGAGAGAGAGAGAATTTCAAGCAAACTCCCCATTGAGTGCAGAACCCAAAACAGGGCTCACGCCCACAACCCTGAAATCACGACCTAAGCCAAAATCATGCCGTGAGCTGAAATCAAGTGTTGGATGCTTAACTGACTGAGCCACCCAGGGGTCCCAGTATATATATATATACACATATATTTTTGACAATTTTTTATATTTTGTATATGAACAAGGATTAGACTCAAATTTTGAATGTGACATTAGAGAAGGAAATAGGATGTAAGTAAATACCATTGTCAGTTAACAGTAATTATGGAAATTCAATTTATTATTTCCTGAAAATTTATTAATTTTATTGTATTAATATTTACAGCATCAATAGTATCTTAGAATCAAGACATTATGGTATAGTATTATCTGTTTTATTCTATAATCTTTTCTAGATTTTGCTACTTCTTTCCTCTTTATACCACTTTTTCTATAAATGTTTTAAAAAATGGCATAGATAATTATTGGACTAAAAGTCTAGGAGGCCACTCTGGAAAATAGTTCAGCAGTTTCTTATAAAGTTAAACATAGATTTACTGTTCAACCCAGCAGTCACACTCCTGGATATTTATCCTAGAGAAATGAAAATTATGTGCACACAAGAAAACCTATACATGAATGTTCAGAGCAATATATTTGTAATAACCCCAAACTGGAAAAAATTCAAATTCCCTTTAATGAGTGAGTAGATAAACAAATTGAGATATATCCATATAGTGGAATATTACTTCAGCAATATAAGGAACTATTGATATAAACAACTTGGATGAAAATAATTCAGTTAAGTGAAAAAAGTCAGTGAGTAAAAAAAGTCAGTCTCAGAGGGTTATATAATATTGTTTTATTTATATAATCTTGAAATGACAAAATTACTGTGATAAAACATGGAGTGGTTGCTAGGGCTTAAAGTTGAGGATAGGGTGTGATTTTAAAGGGATAACAAGGAATTTCTTTATGATGATATAACAGTTCTGTATTCCAATTTTAGTGGTGGTTAATATGAATTTATACATTTGATAAAAATTTCATAGCAGTGTATACACAAAAAATCACATACAAAAACCAGTGAAATCTGAGTAAGTCTGTAGTTAATAGTGTTGTACTCATGTCAGTATCCTGGTTTTGATAATGTACTGATGCTATGTGTAGGATGTTATCATTGGGGAAAGCTGGGTGAAAGGTACATGAGAACACTCTGTACTAATTTTGCAACGTGTGAATCTTCATGTTTTTTGTCACTGTACATAATGCTATAATATACTACCTGCGTATTCATGTATTCTTTTTGTTTGTTTATGCAGTCTTAGGTTTGGGAGATTTTGTTTTTTTAACATAGATTCCCAAAAGCAGGATTGCTTGGCTAATGGGAATGTATATTTTTACATTTAGGGAATATTCTTTTTCAAAAAGACTAGTCTAATTCACCCAATATTTAGTGCCTACTTATCTGCCTCTCCAAACCTAGATATTACTGCTTCACTTAATTTTGGCCAATCTGTTGATGATGGGTGCCATTTTGTTATTCACATTTTTTTCTCTGATCCCTAACTTGAGTATATTTTTATATGTGTATTTGCCCCTTGTATTTTCCCTTCTGTAAATTACTTGTTTATATCCTTCCCCTCATTTTCCTTTCTTGATTTCTGTCAGTTCTTTGTATGATAGGACTATTCTTTCCCAGCATGGCATTTGTCTCTTGTTTTGTTGATGAATCTTCTGTCACATACATTTTCTATTATTTAAAAATGTGTTTTCCTGGGGCGCCTGGGTGGCTCAGTCGATTAATCATCTGCCTTTGGCTCAGGTCATGCAAGCCCTGCGTCAGGCTCCTTTCTCATCGGGGAGTCTGCTTCTCTCTCTGCCCCTCCCTCTGCTCATGCTCTCTCTTGCTCTTTCTCTCTCTCAAATAAATAAATAAAATCTTCTAAAAACTAAAATTAAAAATATTAAAAATGTCTTTTCCCTTAAGACTGTTAGGTTTTTTCCACTCTTATTAAATAAGAGTTTATCACTCCAAATTACTGATACTCTCTCCTAGATTTTCTTTCTAATACTTCCATTGTCTTATTACTCTGATACATGTTTTTGTATATGGTATGAAGTTGGGAAGTGTATGTGCTGCTTTTTCCAGGTGAATAAGTGGTTATGACAACACCATTATTTAAATATTTGAAATACTATGTTTGACATAGATTTAAATTTGTTTTGACCTCTTTATTCTGTTCCTCTGGTCTGTGGGTTTCTTGTGTCAATATTAAAGTGTTTTTATTACAGTAGCTTTATTAAAAGTGGTAGGATCTAGTAAGACAGATTCCCAGTTTTTGCAGTTCACACATTCTTCCATATGAACACCAACATAATTTTGTCCTTTAAAAAAATTTTTTTAACAGTTTTGATTCTGACTGGAATTAAATATAATTAAATTAAAATATATTTAATTAAATTAATTAAATGTATGAGATAATTTGGAGAGGTAAACATTTTCTATACTGTGGCAGAATTTGTAAAGTAAGAGATTAATGCTTTATGAGTTATGATAAACTATAATAATTATGGTAAGTTCACATTTAAAATTTGATTCTCTGCTGTTTTTTTTTTTTAAGATTTTTTTTTATTTGAGAGAGAGTGAGCAAGAGAGAGAGCACAAGCTGGGGGGAGAGGCACAGGGAGAAGCAGACTCTCCACTGAGCAGGTAGCCCAATGCAGGGCTCGACCCCAGGACCCTAAGATCATGACTTGAGCCGAAAGCAGACACTTGATCGACTGAGCTACCCAGGCGCCCCGATTCTCTGCTGTTCTTCTTCACACTTAGTGCCTATTGTTGGAATAATAGGTTCAGAATAATTTGTTGTAGCAAGCAATATTCTAGGGCCCTTTGAAACAGTTTTTCATGTAATAAAATGGAAAAGAATTCCATTAGTTAAGATTTTTGTTTTTCAAGAACACAAATAATGATTCTGTGTACTGAGGGAAAAGATCTATTCTGTATGTTGAGATTACAGAAATTTTATACTTTTAACCCTTCTCTTCAATCTTTAAATTCAGAAGCGATTGTTGGAAGCCATGGAAACATGTAACCACTCCCTCAAAAAGGAAGAAAGGAAAAGAAACCAACATAGTGAGTGCCTAATGTGCTGGTATGATAGAGACACAGAGTTCACTTACCCGTCACCATGGCCAGAAAAGTTCCCTGCCATAGAACGTTGTTGTACAAGGTAATGTTACTTGGTAATTTTTCAACAACAGCAAGGAGCTCCCCTTGGGGGGAAGAGGAGGGGAGGGGGAAGCTTTGAATATCTACTTGGAGAACTAACAAATAATTTTTGATAGTTACAGTCTGTTGATGATGAGTTACATCCAACTTGCCAAAGACCCTAGCATCTCCCTCTCACAATTGTTCTCTGCTTTGGTCAGATTCTTCTTCTCTCTCTCTCTTTTCTGTTAAAGTTGGGTTTTTGTTTGTTTTTTTTTTAATTTTTCCTCCCTAGTGTATATCTGTACCCTCCCCACCTCAAGAGGATGTATGAATTTTTGTTTCCATTGTCAGTGTCTGCTCCTAGCATTATTTGATGTGCTGTGACTTTGCCTCTTACATTCCCAACCACCCAACCAGAAAGAAGAAAAAAAGAAACAAAAGAGGTCCTATAATTTCTTGCCTCAAACCCATTTCTACTTTCTCTTTCTCATTAAAATGTCATTTTTTTTTCTTTTCTCTCATTTTCACTGCAAATTACCCAGATGACACCTAAAGTGAACATCTCCCAGTTATGCTTTTCCTTTTTGTTAAAGCAAAGAGAAAGATGAATAGACATTATAAAATGTTGATTTTCCATCTGGGTTATAGAACATGGGAGATGTGGAGATTTGTAACATGCCTTATATGTTCTTTTACTTCTAAATTAAGTATATATATATATATATATATAGTTTTATTTTAAGTTAATGGGGAAAACTTCCATTCAGTAACCTACAGGCGTAGTTGCATCTAGCCAATTATATTAACAGAGAATCTGGGTTGCCCTGCTGTATATTTTCTTTCTTTTTTTTTTTTTTAAAGATTTTATTTATTTATTCATGAGAGACAGAGAGAGAGAGAGGGAGAGAGAGAGAGAGAAGCAGAGGGAGAAGCAGGCTCCCGAGGAGCCGGGAGCCCGATGCGGGACTCGATCCCAGGACCCTGGGATCATGACCTGAGCCGAAGGCAGATGCTTAACCATCTGAGCCACCCAGGCGCCCTGTATATTTTCTTTGTCTTGAAAGACAGATTGTCATTCCCTTGCTTAAAAGCATGGATGACTCTTGCAAAATATTCAAGGGAATACTGAAAAACTGTGATTGCTTGCAGTGTGTGAATTTTGAATTAAATTCCTTGATTTATTTTCTAGGTATAAAATAATATCATTAGATGCTTGGCGTGTAGACATAAGCAAGAACAAAATAACCAGGGTTGACCAGAAGGCACTGTATTTCTGTGGATTTCCTACCCTGAAACACATCAAACACAAAGTCAGTGGCTGTTTAGTTCAGAATTTTTTCACCTTATTGAATGTAACGTGATTATGGAGAAAGAATTAAAATTAAATTCTCTGAATTCTTTTAAAGTTTTTTTTGAAGAAAAGTGGGGTTCAAGTATTCCAGCAAAGCAGTCGTGGAGAAAACATGATGTTAGAAATCTTAGTGAATGCAGAATCAGATGAACTTGTAAGTATTTTCTTTGTTATATATTTATTAAGTGTTTATTATACATAAAACTATACATAAAACTGTTCTTATTATACATAAAACTGTTCTAGTTGCAATTTACCAAAGAGATATAACATGTAGTAATTCCAAAAGTTCATTGTAAATAAGGAAAAAGGAAAGAAACATTTACACAAATTTTAAAGGAAATGTATAATTGTGATGTAATGAGCAAAAAGTACTCCATGAATTTTGGAAAGGAGATAAGCTACGTGAGCTGAAGATTAAGTACAGCCTTGTAAATGAGACTAGGCTTGAGCTGGGTGCTAAGAAAAAGATTATCACAGAGAGGAGAAAACTAGGGAAAGGGTATTCTAGTTGAAAGGAATAACCTGAGCTGGAAATAAATGTGTGATACATTATCTTATTCTTTTTAACCTTTTTGTATGTCTGAAATTTTTCTTAATACTCTTTCTTTTTTTAGAATAAATATGATGTATTTGAGGAGAAGGAATAGATAAACCTGACTGAAGCAGAGGACTTGTGTTGGGAAGTAGTAGAAGATAAGGTTGAAAAAACAGATTGAGGCCAGATTATGGAGGACCTTGAATACCAGGCTAAGGAGTTTGGACTTTTTTTTTCATAACTGTTATCTTGAAATCGTACTTTCATAAGGATTAATTTGGTGGCAATATAATAGAGTAAATTGCACAAAAGAGAAATGGAAGAAAATGGAAAAGCCTGCAAGTTCAGAGGTTGTGGTTATAAAAGTGTTAGGTGGTAAGGACAAAAACTGGAAGTAGTGATAGATCTGGATGAATAAGACTAATAAAATCAACAAGTTTCATCATTTGTTCAAACATAGAGGATGAAAAGAGGAAGAAAATACTAAATATGACTGAGATTTCAAGCCTGGTTAACTAGAAAATAATTGCCGTTTATTGGAATAAGGAAGTTAAAGTGGGAAAGTCTCTGGCTTGAGGGGATTAATGATAAATAATGATGGAATTTTAAAGCAATGCTAGGATGCTTAACTTGTGCTGCCCTGCCAGCCTTTCTCAACAAAGAGTTCCACAAGAGATTTAAACCCTAATGCCCTAAGTCATCCATTTGAATGTAGTAGATTAATTTATATTCTGTACATTTAGAGTGGGACTAGTTGTGTACCATCCTTTGGAGAATTGAGAAAATAGTCAAATTATTTTTTGTGTTCTGTGGTTCGGATGAAAAACCTCAGTGGAGAAAGGCTGCTTATACACAATTAATACCTGGAGCTAGAGCTTGGAGGGAAGTAGGGATATATGAGTCATTAGCAAGGAGTGATGGCTGAGGCCTTCTGGCTTATTTTCCTGAAGAAAATTGACTCTGAGAGTTCAGATCTCAGCAGGAGGAAATACCCATAGTTATAAAGGGTGGAGAAGGAACCAGTGAAAAAGACAATAGTGTTCAGAGAGGTGAGAGAGAATGATTTCCAAGTTAAGTAATATCACAGAAGCATGAAGTAGATACTACATACAGTGCAAGAAGAATAAAAACTAAAACAAGGTCTGTGAATTTATCCTTCAGGCATCATTATTGGCCTTTGAGGATTTCATTCCTAACTCTTAAGAACCAGTTGGTGGGTCTAGGTAGATGGAAAGTAGAAGTAGCAGGAATTAGGCCCTTGGTTAGGAAGATTATCATTGAAAAGAAGTCTAGAAACATAACTGAAGGTAGAGAACAGACAGTTTAACAAGCTAAATCCATACAAAAGGAGAGAGGTAGAGCTAATGGAGGAAGGAGGTCTTAAAGACACTAGAGGGAAGGAATCTTAAGGATAACAAAACCCCATGTGAGGTATTAAGGGATCTCATATTAGGCTTAATCTGAGGATTAATTTGAGAAATGACTTTTCCTTCAAAAACTATAGGGAAGAGTGGGAGAAAGAAAGAAGAAATAGATGTATGGAAGGGAAAAAGATAATTACGGGATCCTAGTTCTAATGTTGAAACTTGTTTTATTTATCAGAATAGTCATTCTTTTGTTTTATATGTTCACATCAAGAAATGTCTAAATATAACTGAAAGTTACTACAAAAAGTCTATAGTCATCTAATTGTTAAAGAAATATTTGCTAATATGATTAAGCATAATAAAAGAATTGAACGAGAATTTGTATTTAAATTTCAGTTGCTACCACAAAGTTGTTGTTTAACCAATAATAATGATAATGTTTCCTTTTAAAACTAGAATTTTTACCTAAGATATTATTTCATACAGAATATTTATACAGCATTTTATAGTTTATAAAAGCTTTTGTGTATATTATTTTATCACCAAATAAACATTGTGAGGTAGATGTTATTTCTTATTCTCATATAAGAAAACTGTGCCTCAGTGGGGTTTAAATGATTTGCCTACGATTCAATAGCTGGAAAGACATAGAACCCAAATTTGGACCCATGATTCCTAATTTTAAGTCTAAGGGTTCTTACCTCTTTATACCAACTACAAACTGAAATGAAGTCAGATTTCTTAGATTCTGTTACCTGATTATGTGATATGAAAAATGAATAATAGCCCTTTTCTAGACATTTCTGCTATTCTTGTCACCTTTCTCAGTCTCCATGAGAAAAATAATCATGAGAATGATAGGACTGTGGAATTTTACAACTGGGTAGAATTTGTAAAGCATCTATTCCAACTCATTAATTTTACAAATTAAGAAACTTAAATGGAGTTAGCAACAGAACTAAGAACCTAGGTTTCTTGCTAAACATTATTTCTAGTAATGTTGGCTATTATTATGGACAGTAATACATTACGGGTCAGTGCTCTTCAGTTTAATTTCACTGAAACCTATTTTTTCACCAAGTAATTTCATTCAGAATTAAAGTCATTGGGCCACCCTTTACTAATAAGTGCCATTGCTGTTGAGAAAAGGAGGGGGCAAGCTTCCTGGTGTCATAATGTTTATACTGGAGAATAGTACTTTAAGTTGGTCATAGTTCCTCTCTAATAAGAAGGGATTGGCAGAGAGTAAGGTAAACTTGGTCAGCTTTAACAGATTCATACTAAAATAAAGTGTTAAAGAAAGGCAGATGGGTAAAAACAACAAAAATATTTCTTAAAATAAAGGAAAGGACAGGGGAATTCTACCAAACATTTAAAGAAGAATTAATACCTATTATTCTGAAACTGTTCCAAAAAATAGAAATGGAAGGAAAACTTCCAAACTCATTTTATGAGGCCAGCATTACCTTGATCCCCAAACCAGACAAAGACCCCATCAAAAAGAGGAACTACAAATCAATATCCCTGATGAATATGGATGCCAAAATTCTCACCAAAATACTAGCCAACAGGATCCAACAGTATATTAAAAGGATTATTCACCACGACCAAGTGGGATTTATTCCCGGTCTGCAAGGTTGGTTCAACATCCACAAATCAATCAGTGTGATACAAAACATTAATAAAAGAAAGAACAAGAACCATAGGATCCTCTCAAAAGATGCATAAAAAGCATTTGACAAAGTACAGCATCCTTTCTTGATTAAAACTCTTCAGAGTGTAGGGATAGAGGGTACATACCTCAATATCATAAAAGCCATCTATGAAAAACCCACAGCGAATATCATACTCAATGGGAAAAAACTGAAAGCTTTTCCCCTAAGGTCAGGAACACGGCAGGGATGTCCACTATCACCACTGCTATTCAACATAGTACTAGAAGCCCTAGCCTGAGCAATCAGACAACAAAAAGAAATAAAAGGCATCCGAATAGGCAAAGAAGAAGTCAAACTCTCACTTTTTGCAGATATGATACTTTATGTGGAAAACCCAAAAGACTCCACCCCAAAACTGCTAGAACTCATACAGGAATTCAGTAAAGTGGCAGGATATAAAATCAATGCACAGAAATCAGTGGCATTTCTATACACCAACAACAAGACAGAAGAAAGAGAAATTAAGCAGTCGATCCCATTTACAATTGCACCCAAAACCATAAGATACCTAGGAATAAATCTAACCAAAGAGGCAAAGGATCTGTACTCAGAAAACTACGGAATACTCATGAAGGAAATTGAAGACACAAAGAAATGGAAAAACATTCCATGCTCATGGATTGGAAGAACAAACATTGTGAAGATGTCAATGCTCCCTAGAGCAATCTACACATTCCATTCAATCCCCATCAAAATACCATCCACTTTTTTCAAAGAAATGGAACAAATAATCCTAAAATTTGTATGGGATCAGAAAAGACCCCAAATAGAGGAATGTTGAAAAAGAAAGGCAAAAGCTGGTGGCATCACAATTCCGGACTTCCAGCTCTATTACAAAGCTGTCATCATCAAGACAGTGTGGTACTGGCACAAAAACAGACACATAGATCAATGGAACAGAATACAGAGCCCAGAAATGGACCCTCAACTCTATGCTCAACTCATCTTTGACAAAGCAGGAAGGAATGTCCAATGGAAAAAAGACAGTCTTTTCAACAAATGGTGTTGGGAAAATTGGACAGCCACATGCAGAAGAATGAAACTGGACCATTTCCTTACACCACACATGAAAATAGTCTCAAAATGGTTGAAAGACCTAAATGTGAGACAGGAGTCCATCAAAATCCTAAAGGAGATCACAGGCAGCAACCTCTTCGACCTCAGCCGCAGCAACTTCTTCCTAGAAACATCGCCAAAGGCAAGGGAAGCAAGGGCAAAAATGAACTATTGGGACTTCATCAACATAAAAAGCTTTTGCACAGCCAAGGAAACAGTCAACAAAACCAAAAGACAACTGACAGAATGGGAGAAGATATTTGCAAATGACATATCAGATAAAGGGCTAATATCCAAAATCTATAAAAAAACTTATCAAACTCAACAATCAACAATCCATTCAAGAAATGGGCAGAAGACATGAATAGACATTTCTGCCAAGAACATCCAAATGGCCAACAGACACATGAAAAAGTGCTCAACATCACTCGGCATCAGGGAAATACAAATCAAAACCTCAATGAGATACCACCTCACACCAGTCAGAATGGCTAAAATTAACAAGTCAGGGAACGACAGATGGTGGCAAGGATGTGGAGAAAGGGGAACCCTCCTACACTGTTGGTGGGAAGGCAAGTTGGTGCAGCCACTCTGGAAAACAGTACAGAGGTTCCTCAAAAAGTTGAAAATAGAGCCACGCCAGGACCCAGCGATTGCACTACTGGGTATTTACCCCAAAGATACAAATGTAGTGATCCGAAGGGGCATGTGCACCCCAATGTTTATAGCAGCAATGTCCACAATAGCCAAACTATGGAAGGAGCCTAGATGTCCATCA